ACACACACACACACACACACACACACACACACACACACACACACACACACAGTACCGCCTCCTGCTTGTCACCAGAGCTTCACAGAATATCACCCTAATGAGGGAAGACCCATGTTTCTCTCTTTGCCAGAGTGTGTGTGGTGTTCTTTCTGTTCATAAGTTTTCTATCAGCAGGAGCCCTTATTGGTCTCTCTGGGACTCCACCCCCACTGAGGGGAGCAACACAGAATGAAGTTGTGATGAGAGGTGCAGAGGAGCACATATTAACATTAGTGATATTAATCCAAAAGTACACATGATCATGCATCTTACAGTCGCAGCTCCAAGTGCATGAGTGTGTGTGTGCAGAGTCCCTGTTGCTCCTCTGGACCCTGTTGCACTGCGTTGACCCCAAGTTGTTCCTGAACGTCTTACTCTGCAACGACAATTTATTGCTCAAGAAACAGTATTACACAGATTCTTAATTATAATTAAGAAGAGGGGAAGAAATTACAATAACAATAATTTTTTGTTATTAAAAGAGCTCAGAGCTTGGAGCAGAACATGCCCCAGATGAGCAGGCTGCTGCAGAGCAGTTGGCTAAATAGCCCTCTTGCTCCTGTGGGTACTGATGTATGTCCTTGAATGCAACCTTACGCCTCTGCTCCCTCAGTGATTTTAAGTCTTTTGGATTAGACCAGTAGCCTAACACCTAATGTCTACTTTTGCTTTTGGCAAGCCAAGCAGGAGAGGAGGAGAAAAGCTTTTCACCTCCCTGCTCCATCCTGTCTGCAGCTAACTGGAAATCAGATCTCTGCTCCATTAGTCCTGTTGCCAGCTAATTAACCTGTATAAGTTGTGTGATTGTGCATATGCATATGTGCTGGCATGCCTTCGTTCACACATCCCACTCTATCAGTTAATTTGAAGATTTATTTTAACTCACTATCGACTTTTGTGACAAACAGAGACATGTGGACTAGAGTTCTACATTGGGTTGGCTGTGAGTGTATTTATGTTTGCATTGTCATTGTTGCAGAAACCAATGGATATGCCTATGGGGAAGAGGCAGGATCCTCTCCTCCACTCATTCTCAGTCTTTCTTTCCAGCTGAGCCTTCTATCTGCCCCACTTAGCCCATGGAGCGAACAGTAATCAGCCATTCTCAGGAGAGGGAAAGGCAGAGAGATATAAAGAGAAAGAGAGACATGCATGCCCAGTTGTTGTCTTTGATGGAGCCCTTGGAGGTGTCTAGAGGAAGGAGCTTGAGGCTGACACTGTGAATGGACCGCTGAAAGAGAGGGGAGGGGGGTTAAAAGAGGAAGAGGAGGCAAAGAGAAGCACATTCATTGTACAAAAATTGAGACAGGTACAAAGAGAGAGTAAAACACACACAGAAAAAAAGAGCTGTCTCCACGATCTATCCGTCTGGCAAACAAATGCAAAAGCTGAACAACACTTTGCTATCCTGTGGCGGCATGAAATGTGCATACAAAGAACTGGTAATGTTTTTGAGTCCAAATGGAGCTGATCTTGTTGCATGCCAACCCTCCTCCATCGCTCCTCTCGCCTTACACTTTGTACTGGGTACTGGCTGATGAAAGGCATTGCGTTTTAAGTGCTCTTACAAAACAGGGAAGAGGAGAGGGGAGGTGCAAGAGAGAGGACAGAGCTAACAGAGAGAGAAAGAGAGAGAGCCAGAGGCCAACAGCAGGAGGCATGTCCTGTTAAAATATTCACCTGTTCTCTTTGTAAGTGTTGTTGCAGACGAATGCCCGTTACGTGTGTGCCTTGTACAGACAGATGGACCCGCTGAGTGTTTGTGTGCGAGTGTGTATATGGGTATGTGTGTCTGCTCAGGCTGGCCTCTTCTTCCCTGTATGACCAAATAAAACTGAGCAGAGCTGAACTGTTTTATATTAGCCTGACAAAAACTTCCAACTCTCATCATGATGGACAAACTGGAGTTGACTTTGGGAGTTGAGGTCTTACAACAACTGCCTGAACAGTCAGCTCCTATTTAAACCAGTATAGTTAAAAATAGGCTATATTGTATTTGCTTTCCTTTGGAGAGTTAGAGGATGAATGATCTTTATCTTATCATTTTGATACGTTAAACACGAAGCTATAGCCTAGCAGGAGTAGATGAAAAATAAAAGTGAAAAAGCGAACCCACCCCCCTGCATATTTTAAAGTTCCTAAATTAAAATGTCATATTGCTTTATTTAATCTGTGCAAACCCCAAAGTGCAAGCAAGAAAATTTGTAGTTTTACACTGTAGTATTTCTCGGCCAGATGAATTAATTCACTGGACTCAAAGCAAGTAGTCTGGGACAAAAAAATACCATGGTCAGCAACCCCTCTGCAATCTAGTCGTAACTTTAAACTCTTCTCGAGATGTGGCTTCGTGCTGTGCGTCTCCTCTTCTAAACTTGATGAAAGCGAATTAATTTACTTTCCAAAATGTAAAAAGTGTTCCACGTTTTCTTTCAATTGCTGATGTGGTAACAGTATCAGTCATATGGCTCTCCATTTCATCGAGGTTGTGGCCTCAGAAATAGTTTCACCCTGCAATTTAGTGTAAAGACACTCTTTTATATTTGATGACAAAGATCCGTGACTGAGCTGTGTCTTCCATAAACTCTGAGCTTTCACACAATTTCATTTTTCTGCTCACCTGTCAGTCAGATGTGCATTAGACAAAGTATATTTTGGCATCATCTCATCCAAAACCAAAATAGACGGTGAATGGCACAGGGAATGTAGTTTACAGGCTTACGGGGATGTTTAAACTCCTTCAGTTGTTGAGCAAGCGATCGATTCCTGGCTCCTCCAGTTCACGCACTGAAGAGCCTTTGAGCAAGACACTAAATCCCACATACGACCCGTTTACATCCATAACTGATAAAGCATCGTACCTGCAGAATAATACAGTCTACAGTATAAACAGATTTGAATCAGATTTTTAATGCAAAGCATTTTGAGTGCTTACTAAGATTAAGAAATACTAAGAAATTGGCTTTTTAAATGACAATTTACAACATCAAAACCTCATCAAGTGTAAAATTAATAAAAAGCAGATCAAATTACTTTAAAAACATGGAAACGTCTCACACTACAAAAAGGTTTGTGGCTATATAGAGTAGATCAGGTGTTAAAAAGTAAGATTTATTCAAGTGTGTAGACTTGTTTTAACCTGCAGGAAAACTAGAGGGGGACCGTGTTACTGTTTATTAAACATCTATCTGCGTACTAAAAAAAAGGGGGGAAAGGGAATATTCTTTGACAAGCATGTTTGAAAATTACTTGTTTCAGATGTATGACAGAGCAGTTTATGTTTTTAGCAGTGATTTCAGAAAGTCCTCTTAGCTTGATATATTCCCTTTATTGCCCCGCTTTACCTGATGTTTAAAGCGGATCAACGGCACAACAAAGACAACAACTACAATGGAAAAATTAATATTCAGATCTAACATGATTGTTTTGGAAATTTTTTGAACCTCCTGGGATCAAGCTGTTAACAGAAGAGTGTGAAAATTACTGCAAAACCTGCAAAACAAAACCCAAAAAAGATGAATCCAGGTATAATAACTAGTCTATAAATTCCACAAAAAGCAGTTCTTTGTGTCAGAGGTGTCACTGGGGGGCTTAGGTGTTACAACAGATGAAGCAGTATTATTCATACCAAATAAATATGAATAATTTTTGCCATGCATCTTTTAAAAAAATGAAGACAAAAAACCCCACAGTGTCCCTTTAAGTCTGTGGAAGTTGCTGTGAAACGATAGCTTTTTATAGCTCAGACTGTCATTCCTAGTCTTGCACTGACTCTGACTGCCTGTCACTGTGGGTCTGTGTCATGAGCAATATGCTGCGCCCAGGTCAGAAGACTTGCTGTAGCGTAGCCAAGAAATTCACTGTCAGCCGAATCCTTTCAGCTCAGCATGAAAAGACCAATACTACACCAAGACCTCACAAAAACTTAGCTGGATGGACAGTGATGATCATGCTAATTTTCAAGCCTCTGGTAGTGGAAGGTGTCCAGCATTCGGAAGGTGAAAAGGTCGAACGGCAACAGCTTCCACGTGATGCATGGGATTTTTTTGTCCGTTGTTCTCCTCGGTTGTAATCTGCCCCAGATAAAAGGACTAGCAAAGTGCTTAAAATATGAATGTAAATGCAAAATGTATGAGAGAGAAATGAAAATGAGAACTTAAGAAAAACACAGGAAGCAGAGCCAGAATAACCATCTGTCCAGATTGGGATAGGGGAATTCTGCTAAATCACCACTGATCTGCTGAATTGGAGAGGAGGGGAGAGGACGAGCACATCCGGATACACAAACACATAAGTGCTCCCACTCTATCTAAGCTTTCTCAGCCTTGAATTGACCTACATAGGGTATTTACCCCGGGATCAGTGGCAAGTTGTGTAATGCAATGTTACAATAATCCAGCATCCAAGAAGCACTTCTTCAGGATCTTTTGTGATGTCGGGAATGGGCGCAGAGAAGCGTATTAGCACAAGGCAATCCAACAACTGAACCAATAACAACCTGAAAGACAGGCTTTCCCTTCAAGTCTATCCACCCCACTGCTTTCCTCACCTGTCTCTTCTGCTGCAGGAGCGAGACTGTGCTGCATCAGTTTTGCTGCCCCGCCCCTGAGCATCCAGAGACTGAGACCACTGGCTCGTCCAGGTAAGCCAAAGATACTTTAATGGACTTTTTTTTTCTCTCACAGTGTGCTCTTGCAACAATGTAAAACATCCAGTCTGCATACATACACTCTGTGCATTAGTGCCAGCTGAGCCATTTCAACACCCAGGCCTTTAAGCATGCCTGATAGCCTGCTTGCTCTTTATTGAACCACATGTGAGTGTGAATTGGTGCATTTATAGACCTATTGTGCATGGATTTCATAAAGATAGTTAAATGTTCTGTGACTAAACTACACCTCTGACAGCCTCAAGGGTAACTCACATATTCATAGGCATATAAATGGGAAGTGTGGGTAACCGAACTGATATTCCCACTATGAAAGCGCCTATGGCAACTCTGACGCAACCCTCGCCACTACCATAGTAACTGGAGAATCTACTGTAGTGACTTTTACCGTGTGACTGTGCGTGGGCAGTGCTGTCTGTTTGTGATGTGAGTTGTTTGTGAGTATGTAGAAAGTATTGTGTATGAGGATGTGTGGGAATGCATGACATTTCACTTGGATTTTTGAATGAGCCGTTAAAACTGTGAAAAGCTGATTTTGTCATGTTTCTCAATGATTATTGTTTTTCCACCCTCCTCCCGAATGTCTCCCATCTTCTAATCCTCTGTGCTCTGTTTCTAAATCCAGTTGTTCCCGGTCTATTTCTTTTCCTCCAGTCTCTTCATCTGCTATGGCGTAGTTTTCCTCCCTGTGTTGTTTATTTCTTCTCATTATTTATCTGTCTGTTGGAAGACTCTTCTAATCAGCTCACTGCAATTATTTCTATCTCATCCCTCCTTATCAAGTCTCTCACTTATTCTGCTTTTATTAATATCACCATCTGTCTGTCTGGAATCCCTCTCTTCTCTCTGATCTGATGACTTTACTCCTACACCCACATATCCCTGATTGGATGGGCTAATGGCACAGCGGCAGTGGACAGCCAGCTGAGATGATGATGAGATGTAGCGGAGATGTGTAACACCGTAGCTCATTATTATCATCGTTACACAAAGTTTTGTGCTCTCGGTGGCTGCTAACCTGCACCCACGTCTACGCGCTGATGTTCGCTGAATCCATCAGAACACACAAACCTCCCAAGAGATGCTACGAGATCTGCCTCTAGCTTAAACTGGCGTGCCTTTTCTCCTTTACTCAGCCTTTTCGCGTGTGAGCGAGTTCTCCCCTGGCTGTACAGTACTTTAGGTCTCCCTGGGACTGTGAGCAATGCGTTTTGACAGATGTTCAAATCTCGCCACCTTGTCACACAAAAGCAAAGGCAGGAGTCTATATTTGCGAGCGTGTACGAGAGGAAGAGAGGGAGTATAGTGCCCATATCATTACAGAGGCTTTTGCTGTCCAGATGCATTAATAGCTGACTCTTGCTTTTAAATCCTCTAATGTATTCTAATGTACTCTAATGTATTCTGATGCAGCACTGGGGCATGGCAGTGTTTTAATAGAGTTTTTGATATAGACAGCCTCCAGCATGCACACCCCAACACACAGTCTCAACCTTCCTGTTTCCTCTCTATTTTCCTATCGCACTCTTTCCTCTGGTCCCACGCTCTCTTTTTCCATCTATTTTCGCTAACTTTATCTCATTTAATGATAAGAGCGAGCGTCTCTGGCCCTATCTGTGACTTTTAGCTCGGTACTCAGAATAGTTGCTTTCACAGCAATCAAAGAAAACAAAGAGGAAATTTAGTGATGCAGTCATTATTTAACCATGAGCGGGCTTTTTGTGCTCCCTGGTCCCGTTTAGCACTGGTCCTCTTCGTGTAAAAATTATTAGAGTAAGCCTTATCTGGGAGGAAGAAAGAGTGAACAAGCACACAACATCATGCGCACACATTCAAGGAGGTTTCTGGTTTTGACTATGAGAAAAAAATTATTATAAAGAAATGGTGCTGCTAAATTCCAAACAGTATTTTCTATGAATATGTAGACAAAGTGTCTTAAAATGCCTGTTTGTGTATTTTGGACATTTTCTCATGACTGGTCTGGAAAAAGACATCTTATGGAAATAAAATAACCCAAAATATCAAAATTGACCTCCGTATGAAAAAAAAATGCCTTCACCTGTAGTTTCTTTTCATAATCAATACACATTCTCACCTGCTACTTTATTGGTTTTAGTAATTATCTAATCAGTCAATTACAATGCAGCAATTTAATGCATGTAAACATGGTCAAGAGAACCTGCTGAAGTTTAACCTGAGCATCGTGGTTGTTTGTACCAGACTGGCCTGATTATGTCAGAAAACAGAAAACGATCTGAAAAAGAGAAAACATTCCATGACAAAAATGCCTTGTTGTAATCAGAGGTCAGACGATTATTACAAGAGGCATCAGTAACTCAGAGAATGCAGAAGAGCATCTCTGGACAGGCTTATAGCAGCAGAAGACCACACCAGACTCCTCTCCTGTCAGCTTGGAACAGAAAATGGAGACCACCCTGCCTTTTATTAACAGTTCAGGTTGTTGTTGATGGTATAATCAATAATTTCTTGGTACACTGAGCCTCTTAGTGCCACTTGAGCATTGTTTAAATGTCACAGTATTGAGTATTGTTGCTGTCCATGTCCATCCCTTTATGACCAAACCGTATCCATCTTCAGGATGGATAGGATGGAGCAGGTCAGCCACTAATCAGAAGGTCGGTGGTTCGATCCCAGGCTGCCTCCTGGCTGCATGCCAAATATCCTTGGGCAAGATACTAACCTCATGTTTGCCTACTGGTGGTGGTCAGAGGGCTCGGTGGCACCAGTGTCCTGCAGCCTCGCCTCTGTCAGTGCGCCCCAGGGCAGCTGAGGCTACAATGTAGCTTGCCATCGCCAGTGTGTGAATGTGTGTGTGAATGTGTGTGTGAATGTGTGTGTGAATGGGTGAATGACTGAATGTAGTGTGAAGCGCTTTGGGGTCCTTAGGGACTAGAAAAGCGCTATACAAATGCAGGCCATTTACCATTCCAGCAGGATAATGTACCATGTCACAAAACTCAACATGACAATGGTCTCCAGAGTCCTCGGATCTCAATCTGATAGAGGATGTGCAGCCAACGAATCTGAAACGGGCGTGTGATGCTGTCATGTCAATATGGACCAAAATCTCAGAGGAATGTTTCCAGCACCTTTTTGAAGCTATGCCACGAATAATTAAGACGGATCTGAAGGGAAAAGGGAAGTGAAGTGGTGGTGTCAGTCGTTCATGCAATACTCTGGAACAAATCTGAGCAAACTTGACAAAATATGTCCCTCAGATCTCAGTACACAAGATGTAATGAACATCAACAAATAAAAAGAAACATTCAAACTTTTCACATAGTAATAGAAGGAGGCCTGGAGAGATGGACAGATGTTTGGTAAATATGCATGAGCGGAGAATTGCTGAATATTTTGTCAGATGGTCATCAAGAAGACTTATAAGGAGGGCAAATATGAGAGTGGCTGCATGTCTAAACTAAACTAAACAATCTTCCATTTATATAACACTACAGTGCGAGCTAACCGCAAAGAGGTGATCATTTATGCTTTATATATAACATTTTAATTTACCGATTGAATAGGAGGAACAATCTATTGATAAACCAGTTACTGGTCAAGTGTGAGCTAGTCACCACTGAGGAATATAGGAAAACGTTCACTTCTATTACAGCTGATTCTTACCTCCTTAAGAGAGAGTCAGAGAATAAAGAATCAGTCTTTGACTGCTCACAGTTTATAGACAAGCATCCTGCGATGATGGATCACAAGAAGATATTGATTCACATTACCGGCTCACAAGCAAAAAGGGTTGGGAACAACTGGATCAGCACACTAAAGGGAAATGAATCAATATTAACTGAATAGTAATTTAGGTTATTTTGGCTATTAATGGAAAAATAAAATGCTTTCACTGTTTGTCATAGTGTGAGGACTTGTGCATTTTCTCTGTGTTGTATTATTGTGATAGAAATGAATATTGCTTGTGGATTGTTCATTTAATGAGTCATTTATGGGTCCAAGAAATTATGATTTTTAAAAACATTTTTTTCATCACATTGACAAACAGCTGATGTGCTGTTTCTTTTCTGCAGAACACAATAAGAAAAAGCTGAGTTTTATGTTTGAAACAGCAAATAAGAGGTGGAGATTATAATTTTTACAAAGTTTTACACTGTTACATATTCAGAGTTGCACACTTGCAACTTGCACTCGAGCCACAAATCTGACCAAATAGGACTGGGCACATAAAGCCAGTCAACCTCACCCTGGGCCGCCACAGCTACACATCACTGTCTGCGTGCTGCTCCCCTTATAAGTCTCTTTACATTTCACATACTTGATGACCAGCCACTGACATCAGAGTTTTACTCCGTCAGAAGGACTGATATCTTTCCGCTCTTATTTCTGTGTCAGTGGACAGATGCTGAGCCTGGAGGATGGCACCTCCTCTGGGGACAGACAGGAAACAGAGGGTACCAAAAGGGAGGGACCCAGTGAGTACGAGAGCACCCTGGAGAATAAAAACAAACAGGTATGTCTTTTAGCAGGTGTATGTGGGCTCATGAGCATATTTTGGGTGCTGAGGCAGAGCTGGTTGCTCTACCTGTCTTTGCACGAGAAGGTGTGCATGTGAAGGTTGCTCACTTGACACAGAGTTGGGTGACAAAAAAATAAAAACAGATTCCCATTCAGATCTATTTCTGTCTATGTTCACATGAAAAAAGAGCACCCAGGATACCACTGCCACAGAGACAGGAGCATGAACGATGCTAAGTTGTCATGGTAACAGCTAATAACTGCTTCTGGCGGCTGGAGATGTCTTTATTCCTCATAGGAAACTGCTGAAGGGTCCGCTGTTACTGCTAGCGCTGTTGCATGGATTCACTTATATGAGCGTGTCTGTGTGTACTTTTGGTATGATCAAATCCACGCACACACAGAAACACACACAAATGAGTGGCTGTCCTCCTTTTTCCCTTCCTTTTTGTCTCTTCTCCCCCTGCCTCCCACTTCTCCTTCGATTCCCTCTCGCCGAAAATGTAAGAGGGCAAAAAATTGTGGAGGACAGTGAGATTTTAAGCTGAGCTGCTCTGCCAACAAATGGAACAGAAATAAGCTTGTGCGGGTGTTTACTTTTCTATTCATTTTCTCAACAGCACCTTTGTCACAGCCCATCCATCCTCTTTTTCATGCCCCTTCAGCCAGTATTAGCAGCTGAATGATGATAGATGATGTTTACTTTGGTTCTAATAACACAAACACCCACCAGTTTTAAAAAGAGTGGACTGATAAGTAAGACCCAAGCGGGCGCTTGCAGACTCATGGACTAGTGGAAAGTATAATCAAGGCTTAAGAAGGGTGTGAGTGGGAATTTCATGATTCAAGTCAGCTCTTTTGATCTTTTGCAGGCATTGGCGCAAAATTGTAACATGTTTGCTTACTGCTGGATGAATAAGTATCTTTCATTAGATTTTGTGTGCTTTGCAGTATTATTCCTGAAATGTCTTAAAGTCTCAGAGTCCTGTCAACAAATTTAATATACTCGCTCTCTCCCTTTTCCCAGATAGAAGAGTTGGAGCAGAAGTATGGAGGCCATCTCATAGCAAGGCGGGCAGCCCGTCGTATCCAGACAGCCTTCCGTCAGTACCAGCTCAGCAAAAACTTCCAGAAGATCCGCAACTCATTGTCAGAAAGTAAGCTTCCTCGTCGGATCTCTCTACGGCATCCCAGCCCTTCGGGCAGAAACCGGAACGCAGCTCAGAGACACAGCTACACTCTGCATCCTGGAGGAGGACAGATACCTTTACGCTCTAAAACCCCCCCTCCACCCCCTTGCCGCTCCACGTCTCTGCCCCCATCGTCTCCTGCGTCAGCCCCGGCACCTCCCCCAACTCCTGCCCCAGGCTCAGGCCCAGGACCTGGACCAGGCCCAGCACCACCCACACCTCAAACCCCAGGACCCTCACTCACACAACTGGAAGACTGCTTCTCTGAACAAGTGAGGTTTTTGTTTTTTGTTTTAATCTTGTGTTGTAGGAATGCAAAACTGTATGATTTTATGAATGTTTTATAAACTTTTTATAAACTCCAGATAGAAATATCTGGAAAACCACTGAATGAATTATAAAAATTTTTGGTACATTTTTGACATTGACCTTTCCATGACTGTGAATCCCAGTGACTTCTTTAACCCTCTAGTCAAATATTTTGACAGGTGCAGAGCATATTACTATTAAATCCGATAGATACACCATGTCCTCATCATTCAGAAGATACATTTTTAACAACGTCTTGACTTTTGTGTCATTTTCTAGTAAATGTATTGGCAGAAAATTTGGTGTAGACATTCATAATCTCCTCGGGATCTTTTATAACTTTGATCATTCTTTGATGTCCTCAGGTCAAGATGTGAATGTGTCTGATACTGAGGTTTATGATGAAACATCTGCAAAACTGATGACATTCTTATTATTCTCTGACTTACTTTGTGTTTTAATGCAAATCAGCAAATGTCTGCATGGCATTATGACTTCATTAAAGCCAAGAAGCCCTACGAGCGTGTAGTCATGTTAAATAAGATTTTACCATATTCGTGAGGCACGCTGTCAGTATCAGTCTGTCCCATCATAAATCTACTGATCTCCGTGACAATATTTTCTTACCCTGACTGAACTTATCTTTAAATTCTCTTTAAATCTTGCACTACTTATCCAAGAACAGAGCTGACCCTCAGTGTCCTTGCATATACACTTTATCTTACTTAGCTAAACTACACTGACTGGCTCTAGTGACTTGATTGAAATGAGTTTCATCTTAATGCCAGTGGCCCACTCAGTAGTCCAGCTGCTGTCATTGTTAATTTAGTTCCACTAGTCTTACTAAAAGCCACTAATGAGCAACCCTGCGACTATCATAAGCTTTTACATACATGAGTCATGGCCCTTGACCTGATTAAATCACAAGTTGTGATGTGAATTTTTATATTTTTTTGTGATCATACTTGCAGCTGCACTCCTTGGCGCAGTCAATTGATGAGGCCCTTCGTGGCTGGAGCTTGTCTGAGGGTGGAGAGGGCAAGGGACTGCTGATGGACCCCGGGGCGCTTCGTGCAGCTGCTGAGAGTGCTTGTCTGCCACGTAGTGCCAGCTCGCTGCTCATGGCGTTCAGGGATGTTACAGTTCATATTGACAGCAATAGCTCCTATACCATCTCCTCTGCCACCACCACAACCACCACCACCTCTTTGGGCAATGCAGGTGGGGGACAGCCAGGTAGCAGGAAGACTTCTGTGAGTGGAATGGCTGGGGGAGGAGACAACCAGTCAGTGGAGGAGCCAGAGTTTCCTGCACCTCCGCCTAGTGAAGAGCTGGAAATGGTTGATCTAGGATCCAGGAGGGGTTCAGCAGTGCCAACTGCAGGGGGAGGAGGAATGGAAGGGGAGAACAGCACAGACAGACTGGGATCCTCCTCCACTTCTACCTCTACTTCCACTTCCATCTCCACCTCAGCCCAGACTAACCAACAGCCTGCCCAGATTTATACCCAGTACCAGCAGTACCACTACACTCATCCCCAGCAGATCTCCGGGGGGCCGAGCCCCGAGGCCCTGCAGGCTCTGGTCGTCTCTCTGCCGAGGGACCGCTGCCAGGATCCAGCCTCTTGCCGCTCACCCACCCTGTCTACTGACACACACCGCAAACGCCTCTATCGTATAGGACTCAACCTCTTCAATGTGTGAGTAGACCACCACACACACACACACACACACCGAGCACTCTCTCAGAAAATATATAATAAATATTTCTGCACCCTCTGGCTCAGGGTTCAAAGTACTCTTACTGCTGTTTGTGTCAAACACATCTCCAACAGCCATGCAAAACCGCTTTAGGCAGCTGCTCATTAGCGTTTGTGATTGTTGGGAGGAGCTGCCTGTTCAGTGTTATCTTCTGATGATCTGATGTCCATGGCAAAAAAAAGACATCAAGAGGAAGGCAGGAATGGGAATGAGAGAAAGAGACAGATGCAAATAAATGCAGTGGAACATTAGAGGCAGTCAAGGAGGTCATGAACAATGCGAGAGCCACAGAGTTCCTATAAATAGTGTCCACGGTTGGACTGCACTTATTATTAGCTAATACAAATTAATGTAAATTAACCCATATGCATCAGTAACACTTGGTCTCTTTCTAAAGTCCACAGCTAACAGCTTTTGCGCACGGATGCGCCTCTCTTATCCCTCCTTTTCCTAGTGCCTCCTCTGACACACACACACACACACACACACACACACACACACACATACACATATTAGGCACCCTTTCTCTTAAATATAGTGTAAGAGATTTTGTTTCGCGCTCAGCTCAACACACCTCTCTGCTTGAATGCACAAAACTTCTTACACGCACCATTCCCTCTAACGCTATGTGCTTTTCTCTATTTGTTATGTGCGGACAGGAATCCAGAGAGAGGCATCCACTTCCTGATTACGCGTGGTTTCGTCCCAGACACGGCCATCGGAGTGGCTCACTTTCTGCTGCAGAGGAAGGGCCTAAGTCGGCAGATGATTGGGGAGTTTCTGGGGAACAGCAAACTGCAGTTCAACAGAGACGTCCTTGAGTGAGTTCATGTCATTTCTCTGTCATCAGTCATCATTTAGGTTTATTTGATTAGGAAAAGATATAACTGACTTTATGGTGATAATAAGGCACCCCTTTTCTTATATTCTGATCATTCAAACGTTGTACTTCCAGTTAGAAATATAGGCTTCTTACAAATTTATAGTGTCAGTGCACAAACTTGTATGAACATGATGACATTTTGGGGGTTATTTTGTCAGATTTGACAAAGGGAATCCCCATAGTAATGAACCAATGACATTTATAAAACTGGTTTAAGTGCACCTCACTTTTTGAGTTTCCGATCATAAAATATTCTCTCACTCACTTTGACACTTTTTTCTTATCTTATGTCAAGCACCTTAGATCAGTGAAACAGAAATTGCGCTGCAGTCCAGCATCTGGACTGACAGCAATAGATCTTATTAACATTTACAGCTACATTGTTTAGGAGTGGATGTGAGTTAAGAGGTACAGTGGGTCATCTACCAACTGTAGGGTCAGTAGCTCAGCTACTGCTGTCTGCCTATTGAAGTACCCTTGGGCAAGATACCGAACCCCAAGCTGCTCCTGAAGGATCCATGGGAGTATGAACATGTCCATGAATGTTAGACGAGGTGCTTAGGTATAGAAAAAAGTGCTTGTATGACTGGGTGAACGAGGCTCGTAGAGCTTTGAGTGTTTAGTACCAGTCTATTTAGCATTTACTCATTATAAAGTGAAAAAGTTTTTTTTTTTGCTATTTGCCTATTTAACTTCCTCAATTTGAGTTAATAATCTTAACACAGTATTCATTCTGAAAATTTAAACCTTATTACACGGTTCTCTTCACCAGATTTAGATCGCTTCGTTGCTGCAAAACTGTAAATGCTCACATTTTCAGTCGTTTCACTTCTCATTGAATCGGGCTTTAAGATTAGAATTCCTTCCTGACCTTGGAAAAAAACAAACTCATTCACATGTAGCTGAGGAGCTGACCCCGCTATTTGTGAGGGTGCCCCTATTTTGAGGAGACCTGAAAGAATCAGGCTGTATAGAGGCTTTTTTAGGCACTGAGTTCTTTGTAGTTTCTTTTTTTTCTGCCTCTACAAAGGTTTCAAGGACAAACTGGCTGCTTGTTGATATTGCAGAAAATCACTGTGATACCTTATTTGAGAAATGTCTGCAAATGATAACAATTTAATGATGATCAAAGCTCCTGCACATGTGTGCTTATCTCTCTTCTCCTTGCCAGTATTCTCACAGGAAAAGTCATTTCTATACATACTTTGCATCCATATGGACCTCTTTAAAGACTTTTTCTTTTTCAGGAAAACCTAATCTCACTAATATTCTCATTTAGGTCCTTTAGTAGAGTTTCAATCATACATCATAGTACAAAGTCCGATGGTACTGTTGCTTTATATGGCTAAGAAACTGAGGTAAATAAAGTAAAACATCTGTTAAATTTGGACTTTCAAACTTCAGTTATTTTAAAAGCTATCTCAAACTGAGCTGGTTTTCGAAAGCAATTACCTTATAAATGAGCGTACGCGCAAAACTCACTTGACATGTGGCACCAGTTTGCGGAAATGGAAGACATCCATGAAAACATGCTTTTTCTTAATGCTTTGACACTCACCCCTTTTTGCATCCTCCCAGTGTAGGCTGCAGACTGAGAACCAGCGTAGCGAGGTTTTCTGCTGATGTTGTTGTACAGACTGTAGAAATAGGTCACTGCACTGAACACACACTTAAGCACACACCCTCACTTTCTTTCAAAGAGACACACTTGTATGGACACAAATACACCCATGCACCTAAATGTACATGCGCAATCTTGTACGTACTACTCCCATTACCGCAGTCTGTCCTCAGCCTTTCATGTTACCTCTCTCTTTCCCATTCCCTCTTTTCTTTTCATTTTTTGCCATCTCATCCCTCTTTTCCCACTATTTTCGGACTCTTTCTTCTCCACTGATATTTGCACAGCACGTGGGTATATGTGTGTGCACGTGCAAGCATGTTGTCTCTATGTGCATCATTCAGGTCAGTGGTTCTGTAATGGAACTATGACTGTAATGACAAGATTTGCCGTCAGCACTTGGGTACAGATAGTTTGTCTCAGATCCACTCGCACACTCACTCTGTTACCTTCTCACTACAGTGAAGTACTGAAACTAAACCCAGCTTCATTTTGCCTTTTTTTCTTGTCTTTCCCCCCCCTCCCTCTCTGTCTCTTTATAGCTGTGTTGTGGACGAGATGGATTTCTCAGGCATGGAGCTTGACGAAGCCCTGAGAAAGTTCCAGGCCCATGTCCGTGTTCAGGGAGAAGCACAGAAAGTGGAGAGACTCATCGAAGCCTTTAGGTGAGACTGTCAGCTTGATCACAACCCAGCCTCACTGACTAACGGGCTCTGGCTTTGATTTTTAACAATGTGCAACACAAAAACAGTGCATCATGTGACCGAGCAGGGCTGGGTAGTGCACTCTGAAGATTTTAACAGGAATGGGCCTTTTGCTTGTGGCCACCAATACAAATCAGAAAAACAATGGCACACAACCAAGAACACACACTTTGGAATGAAATTGAAGCAAAAAGCTTTTTCTGATCTCGCAGCCTTGGGGTAGCAGAATGCATCCAAGATGGCATACTAATCAGCTCACTGTATAGACATAGAAGAATCGGCTGTTTTTGCTGGCTTACTGCGACAGGCTGTGATGACAGCAAAGCTCTGTGTCATTAATAAGTTACACTGATTTCCTGTAACCTTTGAATAAACTCAACAGTGTTTGATCATCAGCCAATCACAATAGGGATTTACACTGCAGCAAAATCAGCGTGTGTTCCATCAGGACAAGAATAGATGCTTTGTTTCGCAGCTCTCTTTTCACCAGATGACACTTCCCTGGCCAAATCATTTTCTTTTTAGGCTGCTGGTGCATGCTGGGTAGTTGCGTGTCCATCCCATTCAAAATCACACATGAATATGTAGAAGTTTGTTACTCACCAAGATCTGCCTCAGTTGGTTTTGTCCTCATTTTGTGTTGAATCCAGCCCTGAAGTCACGCTAGTGTATGCTGCTGATAAAGGTCTTGAAATGCCAAGTGGAACTTGTTAGACTTACTGCAGTTTGCAGACTCCACTTATACCTTTCCTGCAAACTGTCTAGCTTTGCTTCTAACAAATACCTGGATGGAAACAGTTTTATTTTAAAATCATGCTATTTAACCTTTAACTGAAGCAATAAACAGATAGAAGCAACCAGACAAATAAAAGCTGCAACTTTGGTCCCCTGGCTGGCCATGTCCTTGATAAGTCCTAAAGATATCCAAAGCGTCCCCTCAGGACTAAAAATGCAATAAAAATGCCCTTCATTGTTTTCTATTGCAGAGAAATTGCTTGAATTGCTCTATACATTTAATGTCCTTCCCTTGATGTACTGCTCTTTCCCTCAGGAATGCCCACACTGTCACCAGCATGACACGGCTTGAGTCAGTGGCCTCTTTGAACTCATTAACCAAGACGTCATTTTCCCTGTTCACACCATAACAAATGTTCAGCTTGTTAGTAGGCCGCCAACAAATTTCTGCATCCTCATTCTGACAAATCTTATGGCTGTTAATACAGTTTCCTCCTTCTTCTGTGACAAGGGCGGTTTGTCCCTCTGAAGACATTGAACAGCCCACAGGCCTGCTGCTTTAAGCTGAATGCTATTGTCAGCATTCAAACATGTTCACAAAACCATGGTGTTTAGCAGGTAATGATCACCATGTTTACCATATCAGTTTGCATTGCTAAACAGCACGCAAGGCAAACAGCAGATGGAAGTACAGATGGTAGGAATGTCATTAGTTTTGCAGGTATTTGAGTTAAACCAAAAATAATGGACAGATTAAAATGCTGCCTGACTGCACTACAAGTTTTGTCAGAGGCTCATCATCGACATTACAATTTAAATGTGAGGACCACACTGTTAAAAAAAACATCTTAAAAAAACGGTAATATTCCGGCAGCTGGGGCGCCAAAATACTACCGTAAAATAACAGAAAATAACTTTCTCATGAAAATACAGTTATTTTCAGTAATGAAAATAGAGTTTGTTGCGCTAATTTTACATGGGATTCTGCCTTTTCCAGTAAAATACTTTTATATTAGGATTTTTTCCTACAGTGCAGCCATACCCGCGACCTTGTGGTTGTTAGTTAACATTCATTGGCCGATGTTTAGCGTCATGTTATTATGTGTCCCAACATCCATCCTAGATGACATGAAATTTTCAGCAAAATTATAATTCAAATACTCCTTTAATTATTGATTATTCTCATTAATTTTCAATTTTTCCATAGTATTACATTTGAATTTAACAGATCATTCTCTCACATAACAGAC